GACTCTAGTTAGTGAGTATAAATCTACAGTTCTGTTTTCCCATTATCAACAAGAATTTTAAGGCTTCGGTAAAAATTTAAAGTGTGGACAACAGTAGTGCTTTTGATAWATATGTTTTACAAAATTGCAATTAAGACAAGTGAGTTCATGTTGTCTAAGCACGAGATTTGCACCAAAAAAAGATATTTTCCATGTTTAAAAAAAATGGCCTGCTAAAAAACCATAAAGCCTYAAAGGAAGAAAAGATATCGGATGAAACAAATCAGCAATTACACTTAAAAGATTAAAGTACTTACCCTAATAAAAGATCGCATCAAGTAATTACAAATAACAGAATAATTGTCTATTAATCATAGGAAACAATAGAGAAACAGCTCAGGAGAGCCAGGCTGTCAATGTGAGTCTTAATTCAAGCATACCACGTAACTATTAGGCAGTATAAGAAAACTATGTAATTAAGATGCATGCAAACTGCTGAGCAAAGACGCATTAACTKTTAAAGGCGTAGAGTGCCAGTCTGAAAAGTTCAAAAGCAAAGATGCTGCACTTAGTAGCTGGCAAATTCTAGCTCCAATAGCCAGAACACTTGAGACAAATTAGACTTCATGATATATGCTGTAACACTGCCATCCTACGGCAAGCAGCCTGCAGCTTTACATTAATAGTTAGCCTGATATCTTGCTTTAAAAATCAAAAAATATTTTATACTTGTATTGAAGTCATGAAAAGAAAATCTGCAGAGATTTTGCTATACCAAAGACAAAATAATCCACTATGGAATCCTCTTAAAAAAGTCTTTTGAAATGTCATTGCATCTTTAGATCTTTGTGAACTGTCCAATTCCAAATCCTGTTTCCATTTTTTATATGTTAGTGACATCTAGAGGTTGCTCCCTGAAAGTGACAGATTTTATGGTTTTTAAAGTCAGGTGTCATCATTCTGGAACTCCTATAGGATCTTCAGGATACCTATGATATTTGCAAGCTTTTTGCAATCTCTAACTGTACATTACAACATGTGAACATCATACAGGTTCCTCCTTTCTAGTTCACATACATAACAAACTCAAGGTATGTACTTGGAAGCCTTCTCTAAACAAGCCTCATCAGCTGAAAAATCAGGTCAACACATGGAGCRCAGGCTTTTCAATTCATTGTAGAAAGACTACAATTCTGTGCATCCATATTGCTGCTGTATCTTTTTTTTTCTGTAGTTTTCAAAAAAGTTTTCAAAAGCTTTTACTCTTTTCAGACGAATAGGACTAGCACATTTATTTATGCTTTTGTGCATGGTAGATTTTGTTCAGAATATGCTTTTTTTTTTTTTTTTTTTCCTGTTGTGTTTTACGAAGAGCAACAAAGCACAGAGAAAAGTTATTCTACTACTTTTTGTGTGGTCCCAAGTTTGTGGGCTGGACTTCCCTAACACCACTCCTATGCCTTTGCAATAGTGAGTAGAATCTAAATCTTTTCCAAAACATTCCACTCTTGGGAAACATAACAGAGGTAATATGTGCTACTAACTTTGAAACATTCTGACCTGTAATGAAAATGTTATCAGTAACTTTAATAACTGATTAATAGCAGCAATAATACATTATACTAAGCATAAGGACTATAGGACATACATAGAAAAAAACCTTAGATCAGCATGTCAAATTCTGGCTTATAGTAGCTTTGAATTTGCGATTTTTAACCATCAAGGCATCAAATTTAACATAGACTGATATTTTTTATCATAGAATACCCTGTATCTATTTTAGATAACTGCTAAGAAATTATGCTTAGCAGAGGAAACTGCTTCCTCTACTGCACAAACAAACAAAAACAATTAAACAGGCCAAGTGAAGAGAGAGAGCTCAAGCTCATGGAAAACTAGTCTGACCGCTGTTCACCTAACGAATTTAGGCTGCAAAAGCATTAGGATCTTTTCACAGAAGTGATGGCCACCGGACTCCCAAAGACTTTATTAAAAAATAATTATTCCTGGAAACCTTAAGTCTATATTAGTAACGGGATACCTAGTTCTTACAAGAAGCACAATTTTGAAACGGAAAGCACTATCTAACTACTGATGCTTCTGCTGTCAGTAGCGTGTGCATTCAGGCAGATGGTGCAAGCGCTGACAGAGGGCCGGGAGCTGCCRGCCTGGGAAAAGTGGCAGTCGCAACGCTGGTCACACTCGCTAACTCCCCTCTGGGTTGTGCGAATGGCACACAGGCAGCTGGGAGTGAACTGTTTTGGTCTGATTTAGCTTATGAGTTAAGTATGGTCACACTGACTCAGGACTGCACTGATTTCAGGAGCTAAGGCAATGAGGCCTCTAGTGTAAGTGTTGAAGGAACTTAAGACATTTGGGGAAAAAAAAAAAAACTCAAACTTTTCTACTACAGAGAATAAAACRTCGTTTCAATCTGCAGTTAAATCACACAGAAGTTTCTGGAGCATCTGTTTTCCCATCTCCGGGTGTCGCCACTACTCGTAATACTCCCAAGCGACCCCGCCCACAAAGCCGCCAGTTGCTCCTGCGCATGCGCACTCGCCCCTCCCCTCTCGGAGCACCTGCTCCTACTGCGCAAGCGCACCCCTTAGAGCGCGGTGGCTCCCCGCGCATGCGCACCGCTGCCGTGCAGCCGGCGCCCCCTCCCGGCAAGCAGGGCCGTGTGTG